GAATCCCTACAGTGTGGAAACAGGCCCTTCAGCCCAACAAGTCCACACTGACCCTCAGAGCATCCCACCCAGACCCAATCCCCTATAACCCACCGAATCTACACATCCCTGAACACTACGGGCAATTTAGCATGGCCAATCCACCTAACCTGCACATCTTTGGACTGTGGGAGGAAACCAAAGCTCCCAGAGGAAACCCAGGTAGACAAAGGGAGAATGTGCAAACTCCACACAGACAGTCGCCTGAGGGTGGAATCAAACCCAGGCCCCTGGCGCTGTGAGGCAGCAGTGCTAACCACTGAGCCACCATGCCGCCCCTAAAGCCCAGTCCATGATTGGAGATGCAGTACAAATGCAGGTATTTTCACTCAGTCTGAAGTCTGGAGTCACGCTGGTGAGTCTGTCGGCCTGGCTCAGGGAGACACTAGCTTGGGAGGGAAGAAATTAAAGGTGAGCCCTTATTGTGGGGGAGTGGGCGTTGGGGTAGGTGGCAATAAGATCAAAGCTGCCCTGGAGGCTGGGGAGAGGAAAAAGAAACTTGCTTGTGCCTTCACAAAGCAATGTTCCCAGGTACTTGAACATTATTTGTTTACCCTCCCAGGCAGTGAGCAATGGGGAGAATTTGGCCAGCCCCATCTGCAGGAATTATACCAATACTGGGACCATCTGCAACCAGGCCTCTCACCACAAGGGGAGCCAGTGAGTTGCTTTATTTTCCAGTCAAGGGCTACTTCTGCTGGCCATCAATGGTAAAACAAGCTTTCCCCAGGACACAGCAGCAATGCAGGGAGGAAGGCTTTTTATTCCAGGAAAGGGGGAACCACAGGGAGTAACAACAGACCCAGAGGTGGCCACTGGGTGTCAGTCAGGGAGGAGACAAGGAGCAGCAACAGCAGGGGTCAGATGGTTAGTTACAGGAGTGAGGGAGGGAGTTAGTGAGGGAGGGAAGGAGTTAATGAGGGAGTGAGGGAGTAAGACAGGGAGACTGGCTGGGTGAGTGAGGGAGGCTGGGTGAGTGAGTGAGACAGAGAGAGCCAACCTTTTCCCCTTCCTCCCTCACTGGAAATCTATCCTGAAAGCAAGCTGTGAGCTGAGGAGATCCCAGGAGAAAAAGCAACCATATTCTGACCCATTTATTGTGAATTCAACCAAGGCCAGCTCAGGATTTGCCCCATCAGACATGAACCAAGATCAGTGTTAGTTAAAACCAGTTCCACTGCTTAGCCCTCATCCTAGCCCATTCCCTGCTAATTAGGTCTTTCGGGCTAGGCTTTCCATAACTTTGCTTCTGAGCCAAAAGCCAAGGTTTTTATTGGTGAGCCAGTAGACCAGCATTTCTCAAACTCCAGATTTGTGAAACTGAAATCAAACCATCTGCCATGGTGAGATTCAAGTCCATGTCCCATAAACATTAGCCTGGATCTCTGGGTTACAAGGCCATGATAATACAATAACACAATCATTTAATGGCCGCAACTTATTTAATGCCGCACCCATGATGTAACATAATTGGGATTTGCCACTAACAGGTTGCGGCTGTCAAACCAAAAAGATGTTCTATGTATCACACAACTGAGCAATGTGGTATATGAGTTACAGTGCTGGTGTCATGCCAATCATCTTGGCTGTAAGTCCTGAAGGCAGGCAGAAGGTATTAAATTGCTTCACAACAAGCAAAGTAGTGATCATACCCAACCAGCCTGCACCTGCGGATCACGCAATGCCCAATGGGAGCTGTGATTCTGCAATTGGACAGCATTTTCTGGATAATCCTGAGTGTGTGAAGAACTACAATGTCAATGAATTTGGGATTTTCTGTTGGGCTCAGAGTGTGGCATGTTTGTCATTACTGGAAGCTGCTGATATTATTACACAGACAGGAAAAGCATGTGATTGTGCAGCATCTATTTCAATACACCAGGTGACAGACTGGTTCATTCTCTCAGGGCAATGCTCTGACCTATCTGGTTAAAAATGTAAACAAAGCCTGGCGGTTAACTGTCAATCAGTTTTAATGGGTGCATTCTCTATGGCATCACCTCAACCAATCAGAGTCCACTGGCCAACCATTTAAGGCACCTCTCATGCAGTATAAACGATGGTTTTCGCCTTGAATTAGTTTTGCAAATTGTTCTGAAATATTCAAGGCCAGAAACTTCAACAAACTATTGTTTTTGTTCAGCAATATGCAAGTTTTCTATGACCAACCGACTAATACTTTGATAAGGTAACTTCCAGAAATTTAGAATCTTACACCATTGCAAGTGCCATTATTGATTCTATTCAAGTCTTAACTTGTATAATTTTTCAAGCAATAGTAACCATGTAACATGACTTTAACTGCTGTAGATGCCTCAAGCATTCATAAGACTTTTTCCTCATATTTACAACACTGGCATTTAGCTGAAAATGTAGAAATTGTCCAAAGATGCCTTGCATATGAAAAGCAGGACAGATCTAACCCGACCAGTTACCATCAGTATACTCACGATCATCAGTAAAGTGATGGAAAGTGTCATCAACAGTGCTATGAAGCAGCACCTGCTCAGCGCTAACCTGCTCAATGACGTTCAGTTTGCGTTCTGCCAGGGCCACTCAGCTCTTGACTTCATTACAGCCTTGGTTCAAACATGGACAAAAGAGCTGAATTCCAGAGGTGAGGTAAGAGTGACAGCCATTGACATCAAGGCTGCATTTGACCAAGTGTGATATTGGAATCAATGGCACAGGTTAGAGTCAAACCTGTCACATAGGAAGATGGTCATGGTTGTTGGAGGTTAGTCCTCTCAGTTCCAGGACATTTCTGCAGGAATTTCTCAGGGTAGTGTCCTAGGCCCAAACATCTTCATCAATGACATTCCCTCCATCATAAGATCAGAAATGGCGATGTTTGCCAATGATTTCATACTGTTCAGCACCATTTGTGACTCCTTAGATACTGAAACAGTCCATGTTCAAATGCAACAAGACCCAGACATTATCCAGGCTTGGGCTGACAAGTTGCTAGTGACATTAAAGTAACCACACAAATGCCAGGTTGTGATCATCACCAATAAGAGACAGTCTAACTACCGCCTCTTGACATTCAATGGTGTTACCACCACTGAGTTCCTTACTATCAACATCCTGGGGGTTATCATCAACCAGAAACTCACCTGAATTTACCACATAAACACTGTGGCTACAAGAGCAGGTCTGAGGCTAGGAATAGTACGCTGAGTAACTCACCTCCTCACCCCCCAGAGCCTGCCCACTATCTACAAGACACAAGTCAGGAGTGTGATGGAATACTCCCCACTTGCCTGGCTGGGTGTAGCTTCAACAACACTCAAGAAGCTTGACACCATCCAAGACAAAGCATGATTGACACCACATCCACACATTCATTCCCTCCCACCATTGATGCTCAGTAGCAGCAGTGTGTGCCATCTACAAGACCCACTCATCTCCAAACTCACAACCATTTCCATCTAGAAGGACAAGGTCAGCAGATAAATGGGAACACCACCACCTACAAGTTCCCCTCCAAACTACTCACCATCCTGACTTGGAGATATATCTCCGTTCCTTCGCTGTCACTGGGTCAAAATCCTGGAATTCCCTCCCTAAGGGCATTGTGGGTCTACTTACAGCACATGGACTGTAGTAATTCAAGAAGGTAGCTCACCACCACATTCTCAAGGGGCAACGAGGGACGGGCAATAAATGCTCACCCAGCCAGCAACACCCATGTTTCACAATTGAATAAAAAAAGCTGAACCCTGCTGTGTTCATCCAGCTCTACACCCTGTTATCTCAGATTTTCCAGCATTCGCAGGTCCTACTATCCCTGAACCTGAAAAGCTTGTGTTTACTTCCTTTCTCTTGCTATGTTTGTTAAATCACAGCGTGACATGAACAACCTGGTACAAATCTGGAAAATTTGGATGACCTTTTTTGTTTTGTCCCCAGCTTCGAGGTTAACTAACTTTGTGGAACAGATAACCAGAGGCGTGATTCTGTATAAAGGAGCAGCCGTTAACGAGATTCAGACACAGACACATCTCCCACTGACAGGATGAAGATACTTGTTGTTCTCAGTGTCCTGCTCACTGTCTCCAGCGCCAAAATCCTTTCACGATGTGAAGTTGCACGTGCTGTGAAGAATTCTGTATTGGCTATGTTTACCCAGTACAGTGTGGCCGACTGTGAGTAACGCCTTCCGTGTTCTATTAAAGCTGTGCTGAATGCCCTTACAGATTGGGACAGTTATTTGCGCCTGTAGTTCTGTCAGTCAGTGTGTAGTTGGTGGGGACAGGGACTGTCTGAGTCTGGTCTGGACTGAGTAAGTTGCTCTTTAGTTTAAATTCTGTAAGGGCAGCAATAGGCTGGATGTTGGGCAGTTCTTTTTGCAGAGATTAATGAGCCGTTGCGTTACATTGTTGGCTGGCACATTGGCTGCTGATTCTTCCATCTCCAACACGGAGCTGGTTGGTTCCTGCCTGGGGCAGAGACCACCTTCTTCAGAAGGGCATTCTCATTGGAGATAACACATGGTCCCTGTGATCTCCTCGACTGGTTTGGATCAGCTGAGGGGACCCAGAAGGATCCTTTCTGAGTATTGTTCCCCTCATTGTCTCTGGCTGACCACCTCTCCACAGAGAAGCCTGTGGTGGTCATGGCTGTGATGGGGGATGGTTTTTGGGGTGGGGTTTAGGGGAAGGAGTGACAGTTACTCAATGTGGAGGTTTTAATAGATTCTCATTCTGAACCGAAATCATCTACCACAGAGGTCACATGACTATGGTAAGTCACAGCGTCCAGTATCCTTACAAATACATTTCTCCAAATAATATTGATCTCAGTATCCTGATGTGGGTCACACCTGATTGGCTAGCTGGCCAGTTTCTACTCACCTAGTTTGACTGGTCATGTGCATCTCTCCCAAGCCAATGGAAAGGCAAAACTATAATCCACCAGGTTACAACAAAGGAAAGGTTTGCAATGGATTGTCTCTAAACTGTCAGGTGTAGTATGAACCATATGAGGTTCTGCTTTGTGTCCTAATCTACAGTGTTCTCTGTTCATTTTGATTCTAGGGGTGTGCATGGCCTACCACGAGACTGGGTACAACACACTGGCGTTGCGATATGAGAAAGACAGTGAGGGAAAAATCCAGTCAGGAGACTATGGGATCTTTCAGATTAACAGCAAACGGTGGTGCACGGATGACATGTTTCCGAATGGTGCAGATGAATGCCACATGAACTGCAACAGTAGGTGAACCAATGCAATGCAAAGCTCAAAATGAATTTCTCATTCCTTTCCAAACAAGAATATGCTACTGAAGAACTGATTGTATCTCTAATTGCTATATTACAAATTAGATTAAGTGATAGTGGAGAGCTTTAGAGATTTCGCTTCAGGAAAACAGGCTGAAATATCATAAGACCTTAAGACATAGGAGCAGAAATTAGGCCATTTGGCCCATCAAGTCTGCTCCGCCAATCAATCATGGCTGATAAGTTCCTCAATCCTATTTTCCCGCTTTCTCCCCGTAACTCTTGATCCCCTTGATAATCAAGAACCTATCTATCTCAGTCTTAAATGTACTCAATGACCTGGCCTCCACAGCTTTCTGTGGGAGTGAATTCCATAGATTCACCATTCTCTGGCTGAAGAAGTTTCTCCTTATTTCCGTTCTAAAAGGTCTTCCCTTTACTCTAAGGCTGTGCCCTTGGGTCCTAGACTCTCCTACCAATGGAAGCATCTTCCCAACATCCACTTTGTCCAGGCCATTCAGTATTTTGAAAGTTTCAATTAGATCCCCCCTCATCCTAGGCTGGTATCCCATTACCAAGTCAGCCTTTATTTACACATGAACAGTCCTTCACCATAATACTGCCTCATTCAGAGTCAGGCATCAGAATGTCAGTGTCTCTGAGACTCTGCTTTTTCCCTGTCAGCCAGGGCTCCCAATCAGGGCACTCATTTTCTATGAATTACTGCACTGATTAACAAGCATCCATCTATTCTTATCCTAAATTCTAGCACTTACCCCACAGCCTCACATGATGCTGTGGCATTTCAAGTGATCATCTAAACATTTCTTAAATGTCTTGAGGGTTCCTTCGTCTCCCAACTGTTCTGACAGTGAATTTCAAATACAAACAATCCTTTGAGATTTTTTGGCTTAAATCTCCTCTAATCCACCTCCTCCTTACCCTAAAATTATGCTCTGTCGTTATTGACTTCTCTACTACGGGAAAGATTTCTCCTTATTAAGCCTATCTTTGTACACCTCAGGTAGCTCATCCTCTTTGCCTTCTCTGCTGTAAGGAAAACAACCCCAGCCTCTCTAGTACAAGAGCAAGCTCTAGCTTTCCTGCTCCTCTGATGCTGCTTGGCCTGCTGTATTCATCCAGCTCTACACCTTGTTATCCCAGCCTCTCTAGTGTCTCTTCATACTGAATCTCTCCAGGCCAGGCAACATCCTAGTGAATCTTCTCCACACTCCCTCTAATGCAATCACATCCTTCACATCAAGTGGTGACTAGAACTTTGTTTTTCCTTAATTCATTAACCGGATGCAAGCATCGCTGGATAGGCAGCATTTATTGCCCATCCCTAATTGCCCAGAGGGCAGTTCAGAGACAAACACATTGCTGTGGGTCTGGAGTCACATGTAGGCCAGACCAGGTGAAGATGGCAGTTTCCTTCCCTAAAGGACGTTAGTGAACCAGATAGGTTTTCCCCTAACAATCAACAATGGATTCATGGTCATCACTAGATTCTTAACTCCAGATTTTTGTTTTAAATTGAATTCAAATTCCATCTGCTGTGGCAGGATTTGTACCCGGGTTCCCAGAATGTTATCTCTGGATTAACAGTCCAGCGATAATACCACTAGACCATTGCACATAGCACTCCAGATGTGGCCTAACTAATGTTATACACATCTCCTTGCTCTTGTAGTCAGCGCCTTCATTAATAAAGGTATGTATGCCTTCTTAACCACCTTATCTACCTGTCCTGCTGCCTTCAAGGATCTGTGGACATACACACCAAGATCCCTCTGATCATCTGTACTTGCTAGGGTCTGACAATTCAGTGTGTACTCTCTTGTCTTATTAGTTGTCCCAGAATCCATTACCTAATGCTTTTCACAATTAAATTCTATTTGTCACTGTTCAACTCATCTGTATCGTCCTGAAGTGTCTCAGTCTTTCCTCGTCACTATTTGCCAAGCCATTAATTCTCGTGTCATCTGCACACTGACTGATCATAACTCCCACATTTGTGTCTAGTGAGAGTGCAAAGGAAATACATTTCAAAGATGGTAAAGGCTCTGAGGCTGTTACTATCAGGAAAGGATGAACAATTTGGGTCACTTTATTTTTTCACACAGGAAGTGATGTGTGATTGAACAGACGTTAAAAAGAGGTACTCATGGTGATGTTTCAATTTGTGTGCGAGAGTACAGTTACACTGCATCAAGAAGATGCTAACCAAGGAATCAATTTTATCCATAGTCATACACGGGAATGGGAATCACCGGTCAGGTCAGCATTAATAACTTGTGAGAAGTTAGAAGTGTATAACTTTAAAGGGCCGTTCAGAGTGAACCAGATTGCCGTAGGATGAGACACAGCAAGGTTCGTGAGGCTAAGGGCAAGAGATTCCCTTCCCTAAAGGACATTCCTGAAGCAGATGTATCTTGTGACAATCTGATCATGTCATGGTCAGCATGAGGGGCAGCACGGTGGCACAGTGGTTAGCACTGCTGCCTCACAGCACCAGGGACCCAGGTTCGATTCTAACCTCGGGTGTCTGTCTGTGTGGAGTTTGCACATTCTCCCCGTGTCTGCGTGGGTTTCCTCTGGGTGCTCCGGTTTCCTCCCACAGTCCAAAGATGTGCAGGTTAGGTGGATTGCCCATAGTGTTCAGGGATGTGTAACTTAGGTGGATTATAGGGGATGGGTCTGGGTGGGATGCACTGAGGTTTGTTGTGGACTTGTTGGGCTGAAGGGCCTGTTTCCACACTGTAGGGATTCTATGGTTTATTCTCTGGATGACAAGACCAGTAAGATAACCACTATGTTATTGGACACCAAATTAGAAGCAACTCCTTACCTGGGGACAGGCGAGAATGTTGACCTCTCCACCACAAATAATAGCTACAGTGAGTCATACAGATCAATATTAACTAGATTAGCAACATTGAAATTTCACAATCTGTATCAAAACACAACGGATTTAAACTTTGATTCTAATGTCACATTTCTTTTTTCACTATAGCATTCCTGAGCAGTAATGGTGATATACAAACTGACATCGATTGTGCAGCAGTGATAGTGAATGAACAAGGAATGCAGGCCTGGTATGTTACAGTCAAAATCATGTCATCTCTCCACTTTATATTTAATTATCTCATTTGTAAAGGACTGATGGAATGCTGCTAGTTCCTATGACCAAATTATAAACATTGCAATGACATTGTGGCCACCTATATCAACCCCCGTTACAAACAGGCATTTCAGGTAGCGGCTGGGAGAGGGTTTTAGAGGGCTTTTGAATGAACAGTGTGTTATAGAGTGCTATGGTGAGTGTGAATCAAAGAGTGTAACAGTAAGGGGTATGTTATAGAGTGTGTTACAGTGAAGGTGTGTTATAGAATGTGTTACAGTGAGGGGTGTGTATAGAGAGTATTACAGTGAGGAG